GTACCTCAGCCACAAAGTAGGAATGGCAGAAAGCTAAGGAATGGACTGGATCTAGCCGGCAAAGCCATGGCTTTAGTCCTACTGAGATTGCTTGGTAAATTAAAGACTCATGTGGTCAGAAAAACAGAGAGAGAGATACAGTAAAGAGAGAGTCATAAACAAAGAAAATTTCTAAATGATTTACTGTGTGTTAAAAAAAAATATGCAGGTTAAAAGTTAAAGTTCTTAAAGTAAAAAAAAAGAGGAAGAAAGAGAGTAGTTGGGTGTGGTAGGACACACCTTTAATCCCAACTCTTGGAAGGCAGAGGGAGATTGACCTCTGTGACTTCAAGGTGTAGTAGCATATGCCTTTAATCCCAATGCCTGGGAGGCAGAGACAGATGGATCTCTGAGAGTTCAAGGACAGCCTGGTCTTCAGAGTTATTCCATGACAAAGATATACAGAAAACATGTCTCAAAAAGTAAAAATAAACAAAATAGAGTTAAAATAAAGCCATACAAAGATGGAAAATAAACAGAGAATTTTGATACTGTATGCTATTATGCTCTCTTTGAATTGTTTGAATGCTGAGGAAGGAGCAACAGCTGCTAAAAGATATTTGTTTATAAATGCTGCTGAACTAATCCAACATAGATATTTTGAAAATACCTTGACTTCAGAATTTGGATCTAAGGATATGATACTTTGGAAAAGAGATTCTTCTTTTGTTTTCACAGAGGATGAAACCCTGTGGATTGCTTCTATCCCAATATGGTATGATGGACCACGCCCTCCTGAAAGCTTGCTGTGAACACCCTCAAAAAATTACTTCACTCAACTGAAGACTGAGATGAACCTAGCACACAGGTTATACCCTGAAATATCTGATTAACAGCGCCCCCATACAGCAGGAAGCAGTTTGGAGAGAAATAACTGTGCCTATATTCCCAAATATTGTTTATAAATGTTCTTTTACATTTAAAGGGGGATATGATATAGGTATGAATAATTTACATTGATATGGATTTTGCTTTAGTGATTTAAATTTAAGGTCAATTTTTTATATGTATATGTATTTCTGATCTTGTTTAAGGTATTGTGATTGTGTAGTTCACTTAAAAATGTAATGTATATAGGTTGTTAATAGATAATCAATAATAGTCAAGCTTATAGTCATGTTAGTTAAGATTTTCTAGGTGCACATAGATATATTTTAGATAGGCATTCTTCATATTTCTCAAAGATTATAGAATATGGCATTTTAAATGTTTTAATAACTTAGGGCTTTTCATGACAATGAGACACGTCTGCTCCTGGCAGCATCAATCTACTTGAAGAAGAAGATGGGCATCGAAGAGGCATGTTATGGAGTTTGATAGCCATTTGGGCAAGAAACTATTGCATAAACTGGACACAGAGAACCCTCAGAGAGAGGACTGCTGAACTTGCCTAAAGGCGAGATGAACTTTTGAGGTTCCTGATTCATGAAGGAGTCTGCGAGACATTCTGCAGTACACAGCAGATAATGACTGAACTGCCTTTGAAATTTCCTGCTTCATGGAAATGTCTGCTGGAAACTATGGGCCTGTAGGCCGAAGATGAATGCCCCAATGATACAGAGAAACTTTGGGTGACTGTCCAGCCAGTGAGGTGTCTCTGTCATTTCTAGAGTTTGGAAGTTGATTATTTTTTGTTTACTAAGTTAATATTATATCCTTCTGTAGTCTTTGATGGAGTTGAAGAATAGTTAGTTATAGTTATAGTTTTCCTTAGTTATGATAAAAGATAAAGTAGATGTAAATATTGTAACTGTCATTCTTGTTTTATAACTGTTTTGTTATATGTAATTTTGCTTTGTTAAAGTGAAAGCCTTTCTTTTTTGTTTAAACAGAAAAAGGGGAAATGATGGAGGAAGGTCATTGGCTAATAAAGAAACTGCCTTGGCCCATTTGATAGGCCAGCCTTTAGGTGGGTAGAGTAAACAGAACAGAATGCTGGGAGGAAAAGGAAGTGACGTAAGACTCGATAGCTCTGCTCTCTGGAAGAGACGCAATGAAGCTCCGACCCAGGATGGACGTAGGCTAGAATCTTTCCAGTAAGTGCACCTCGGTGCTACACATATTAGTAGAAATGGGACAGGCAGTGTTTAAGTGAATACAGTTTGTGTGTTGTTATTTCGGGGCATAAGCTAGCTGGCAGCCAGGAGCCAAGCTGCAAGAATTCAGCCTGCAGCTCCATCAACAAATAACGAATTTTCCTGCAGTAATCTTTGAAGCTTCCAGGAAAAAGATGGGGCCCCACAACAATGAATCCACCTGGTTGATATGACATCGTGATGTTGATAGCACTACTATAAGACCTGTTTTGGGTACCAGCTGCTCAAGATGGTTCCAACTTGGTTAACTGAAATGGTGTACTTTTTTACAACATTCTGGTCAGAACTCCAAATAGTAATCTCAGAAAAACCCTACCAAATACTCAGAGACTATTTGTAATTATACCAGACATTAATCTTGGAACTTAACCATCATTTTACTCTCACAGGATCACATAGAAAGAACATCACCCCCATGACAGCTACAAGTAATTCTAGAAGACGACATCCTCTCTCCTATCAAAGTTTGCCCTCAGGGTTAGAGATATCACTTAAAGGTTGATTATAAGTAGTATAGGGTTAGGGGTTGGAGAGGAAATTATGTAGGCTCAGGGAGCTCTTTGAGGAAAAAAAAAGGGAAATTGGAGGTGATAATAAATTAGTGTGAACTTATTCACACTAATAATAATAGTGAGTAATAGAGTGAATACTTGCAAGCTAATATTTATAGGCAATTTACATTGGTATAGATTCTTGTATATTGATACAAACTTAAATTATATTGAATATGTTCCTCTTTTTGTCTACAGTATTTGTATGTCTAGGCAAAGTTATTTTGTCATATTGTATGCATGCCTGCTTCTACCCCTGCTTAAGACATTTTGTATACTGATACAATTTTAGCATATATTTATCATATTGCAATATACATTTCTACCTCTAATCAAAATACTTTTGCATTGTTTACATTTTGAGATCATTATCCTCATTCATTGCACAGTTGTTTAAAGATTATTTAATATTCTAATGGGAAGTCTTATTAAGTTATGTAGGTATCAAGAATGATAGACCACTTGTCATCCATGCTTCTCATACTTACAGTTAGACTAATCAGTTTCTTTAGATAAATGAAGATTATATTCTGCATAGATAGATAATCATCAATCACTTCAAAGAGCTGTAGAATATGGGATTTAAATAATTTAGGGTTCTGTTGATGTGAGACGTGATTGCTCCTGCTAGAACCAATAAGAATGTTGAGCACTGCCGAGTGATGGTGGTGCACGCCTTTAATCCCAGCACCTGGGAGGCAGAGGCAGGCAGATCTCTGTGAGTTCGAGACCAGCCTGGTCTACAGAGCTAGTTCCAGGACAGGCTCCAAAGCCACAGAGAAACCCTGTCTCGAAAAAACAAAACAAAACAAAAAACAAACAAACAAAAAAAGAATGTTGAACACTGAAGATATTTCACTTGGAGTTTGTTTTCTTCTTGGCAAAAATGGCCTTCGGGTAAGGTACTGCCCATGTATTGATCACTGACAAAATGCACGATGTCTAAGCAGGATACAAAAAAAAAAAAAAAAAAAAAAAAAAAAAAAAAGACGGTGAAATCTTGCTAAAACAGAGTAAGACAGTTTTCAAAAATTTCCTGCCTCTGAAATGGTCTGTCAGGTACACTAGGCCTTAGCCAAAGTTGGTAGCTCCAGTGTTGCAAATGAGACATTGGGTGATTGTCCAGGTAGCCAGTTGTCTCTGTCATTTGTTGCATATTTTGGAAGTTGCTTGATTGCACTTCCTGCTTACTCCAGTAATATTATTTCCCTTCTCAGGTCTTCGATAGGGTTGAAGACTAGATAGTTGTAGTTACTTTCCTCTCATAACTTGGCCAAGTTATTTCTAATACAAGACTTACATTCCTTAGGATAGGACAATTATTGAAACATCACATGTTTCTTGCTTAATATTGTTTACACTGGTTGTAATTCTAATTTTTATACCTGATATTTGTTATTATTGTATATAAATTTGTATTAGGCTTAGAACTCTCTTATTTAAACAAAAGGGGGAAGTGCTGTAGGAATTCCTACCACCAGTAGCCTTTAAGTTATCAGCCCACTTGGGTGAGGCCTCTTATACTATAAATGCTGATGTAAAGCATGTTCCCTCTTCTGGATTCAGTTCCTGTTCCCAATCATGCAAAGGACTATGGTCTGTGAATCTATCCCTAAATAAATAACTCTTTATTATACTCAATTCTTAGCTAGTGTGGGATAGCCCTTTAGCATCCGTCTTCAGACTGGTTTCTCTGCTTCTCTGATCTTTCAGCTTTCACCCCCTAATATCTATCTGTCCTTGGGTTTTTATTAAGACCAATTAGAACTCATGCTACAGAGATCTGCCTGCCTCTACCTTTGTCATTTTTATTACTTTAAGCATGTGTGCTTATGTGTGGTGTGTGCGTGTGACTGCAGGTGCCTGAGGAGCTAAGAAGAGGGTGTTGCATTCCCTGGAGTTGGAGTGCACATGAGCCCCTGATATGAGTGCTGGGAGCCATACTCCTCTCCTTCCCAGAGCAGCAAGGGCTCTTAACCCCTGAGCCATCTCTCCAGTTCTGTGACAAGAACGTTTTGCTACAGCACTAGGCTTTTAGATACTAAGAAATTTGAGGTTTGGCAAAGTAGAAGTCTGATTTTCTCTCTTTAGAGTCATTGCTGCTTTCCTCACCTGAATCATGAGGCTTTTTGAATTTTTCCTTAACTTTGACTTGTGTGGGCTTGCCCCATGATGAGGGGGATTATAGCATCTACCTGATATGAATAAAAATGAGTCAACTCAGAGAAAAAGAAAGCAAAGCAGAGGCTCTTACTTTATAAAATATGCTGTGGTTATGAAAGATGAGACGCATGTCTGCAACAAAATGCTTTACCGAATGATATGCCTTCTTGTTCAGCCTTTTCTTGACTTTGTTTAACCACATGTGTTCTTTGAGGTCTGGAAAGTCTTCTTTTCTCTGTTGTGAAAAGAACCAAAAATATGTGTGTGAGGGGGATGCTGTCAGTATAGTCCTTAGCTGGCTTTCCACATGCTCCCATGGTTGTGGATTCTGAATGCTTGTATCTTTATCCCTCTAATACATAGGGTGAAATCCTAACACCTGGCACACTGGAAGTAAGAAGTAAAGGCTTTGCAATTAGCTTATGAAGGTGTAGCCCTAGGAGTGGGATTAGTGCCCTTATTAAGATTCCAGGAAGCTCTCCCAGTCTCTTTTCACCATTTGAGAGAGCAGTCTGAAGTGAGTTGCCTGCTTCCCGGAAGACTTTTAGCCAGTTGTCATGGCACACACATTTAACCCCAGAATATTGAATGCACAGGCAAATGAAATCTCTATGAGTTCAAGACCTGCTTGGTCTACAGAATGAGTTCCAGGCCAGACAGAGATGTGGAGTGAGATCTTGTCTCACATAAAGAAATAGAAGATCCTTACCAGAAGCCAGACTTTATCTGCACCTTGGCCTCAGACCTTCAATGTCCAGAGCCATAAGAAACAAATTTATATTGTATATATTGCCCCAAGTCTACGGTAGTTTGCTATGTATGGCTTCCTGCACAAAGACGCCCATCAAGAAGGCAAGAGAAAGACAACTTGTATGGGAATAAGATCACAAGATTTCAGTTTTGCTGTCCTTACTTACTTGCTTTGGTTTGTGGATAAAAAAGCAACATTTTGGTTCCTGATAGACAGTCAAGAGAAGCAGCTCACATTTCTGCAAAAGATGAAAGGTGATTCTCAATGGATGATCACTTAGGGAGAAAAGGTCTGCTTAAAATCCAAGATTCAATAAAAGACTCCTAGACCCCCTTGGACCTCTTTGAGACAAATATGAAACGTGGCTACTCCTTGGAGTATGAATTTTACAATGGGTCACATGATCCAAGTACATCATGATTTACCTTGGGGTTCTCTTCCTTACCCTCTGTAAGACCATGTTCTTCTATCAACCAAAAAGAGAGACCTTCAACTTCACACTGACTCACCAGCTGCTCCTCAGGCAACATCTTCCTCTTCAGGACCTCAGATTCCTTATGAAATGCTTGATTTTCTTGGAACTTTGCCTGATCCTTTATCTTGCAGAAGACACAGCTCCATGGGCCACTGAGAGATCAGAGATAAAGTGAGCAAGGGCAGAGGCTGTGGACCAGCCCCCATTCCTGTGGCTGACAAAGACCTCTGTTCAAGAATGGTTTCCACCTAGCATTCAACTTCACTCTTGGAGGACACTGGACTGGCTCTCCATGTGAGTTTGATATGCAAATATAACCCCTACTATTATTAATGAGTGCTGTGAACCCAAGACGGTCCCATCAAAAAACTCAGTCTACACTGAGGGCTGTATGACTCTGGGCAGGCATTCCTGGGGGCTATAAGAAAACTGGCTGAAGGAAGCCATGCAAAAAAAGCCAGTAAGTTACACTTCTCCATGTTTTCTGTATCAGGTACCTGCCATTACTCCTCTGAATTGGGGGTGACAAACTGTTTGATAAAATTAAGTCTTTCCTTCCCAAGTTAAACACCAACAAAATCCTTGACAAAGTCATCCCAAATTTCATTCATTTCAATGATCTGTCTTAAAAATACTGGCTTCTCCTTGTCCATTCAGTGTTCTTTTTCAAAGTATCCATTACAAGACACTCCTGAGGGGTGTTGGGAGCTGCATGTGGGCATTGTGAAAGAACTGATTCCTTCTGTGCTTTGGTATTATGTCTAACTAACCAGTAGAAGTGGTTTCCAATAATTCTCTGAGATGGTGCCCTGGAACTAGTGAGTGGTCTTATGAATCCTCCTGTCACCAGAGGGCAATGTTCTCTTAGAGAATTTCCAGGAGAGATCAGTCCCTGAGTCACAGTAGTTTCATCCACACTATTGATACCACCAGTCTAATCCCTTGTCAACCTCTTGGAATCTCACATTCTATCTCTGCCCAGAGATACAAATACAGCAAAGGCATGTTCTGGTGAGGGTGGGGGTGGGGGTGGGGTGCTGACATACAGGATTTCCAGTTCTCATGTAACCCAGAGTCAATTAGTTTGATAGAATGCTGGGGTGGATTTCTGTAGGCTTGACAGCCCATCTTTATCAATGTTGTTATTCCGTAGTTAGGAAAATGAATGCCTGGTTAAAGCCAACAACCACTGTATGATGCTGGCACCCCAGTGGAGCACATAGGTGACAAGGAGTGACACTTCTTTCAGGTAATCACTTTTCATTAATCATTCCATAATTATTTCCTTTAATGTTCTGCTATGCGTTCTGTAAACAGTTCTATATACTTTTGGATCTTAAGACCAAGGTCTTGCTCCCATCCTATCAATACATATTCAACTGGAGATAGCAAACCAGCAGGATGTGTGAGTGTTGGGGGGTGGGGGGATGAAGTGTGTCCTGAGGAGGAAGGGCCGGGGGTGGGGGCAGGGCTGTCTTACTAACCTCTTGTCTTCCACAGGTGGGATGTGGCAATTTTCATGATAGAATTTCCCACATCTATCACAAGGGTACAAGTTCCATCCTTGGCTGCACACTGTACACTGTTGTGAATTTTCCAGCTACAAGAGAAATGTTGCAAAATATCATCAAGAGCCATGTGACCCCATAATGCTGAAACATGTAGCCTTTGCCTAAACCAAGGAGGCCCAGAAATCTTTACTCCAAAGTAGATATTTCAAATACTTTTTTAATGTGTGTGTTTCTGAGTGTATATACATGCACCACAGCTGTGCAGTTGCCTGCAGAGGCTACAAGTGAGAATTGTATCCCCTGGCCTTACATTTTCAGGTGGTTGTCAGCTGCCATGTGGATGCTGGGAACCAAATCTGGGTCCTCTGGTTCTGTGGGACAATGGGTTGTACCCTGTCACTTGCATTTTAAATAAATGCTGATTGGCCAAGCCAGGCAGGAAGTATAGGTGGGGCGACCAGGTAGGAAGTAGAGGCAGGACAATGAGAATTCTAGACAGAGGGAAGTTTCCGTCTGCAGTTGTCATCCAGACAAAGAGGAAGCAAGATGTGACTGCCTCGCCGAAAAAGGTACCATCTACGTGGCTAACACAGACAAGAAGAATGGGCTAATATCAGATGTAAAAAGAGTTAATAAGAACCTGAGCTAATAGGCCAATAAGTTTATGATTAATGTAGACCTCTGTATGTTTCTTTGGGACTGAACGACTGTGGGACTGGGCGGGACAGAAGCCTCAGACAACACTCTGGGAGAGCAGCAGAGCTCTTCTTAACTCTCTCTATGTCTCACCAGCCCCTCTCCTCAAAATATGAAGGACTAGTATTGAACAGAGATTTACAGAATGGAATTCTGATATGAAATAAAGTTCAGGGAATTGCTGGGATATGTCAGACTAGAAAAATTTACATTGTAAAAAACAGTGACTCTGACATGGAAATAACAGGAACACCATTGCAATATCAACAGTAACAAAAAAGATGAATTAGAGATAACAACAAATATATTATTCAGAAAAGTCTAACTCCAAAATATAATGTCTTCATCTGGATTAATTAATTAATTTCATCATCATTATTATTGGGGGGAGGAGCTCATGTAGCAAGGGCAAGCTTGGGTTCTGATTTTGTTGACTCAAGTTTCCAAAGTGGCATTTCTAACATTCAAGGAATTTGATCAGGAGAACTACCTAGGGTTGTTGAGCAGGTTCTACTATTAGAAGATGTGGGTTCCTTGGGCTCTGTTCTGTGCCCTCGACTCATTTGCCTCAATATTCACAGTTCCTTTTATGACCACTCTTTCTCTAGTCTTTCAGGTCTGCATTCTGGTCTTGTTTTGAGCCTCCAGCACTCACTCTGTGCTTCGCTAGGGAGGTCTTTATTGTTCTGGAACACTGTCCCTGTTCCTATGTCACAGTGACCCTCTATCCTTTCATCATATGAACCCTGACTCATCCCTGCCCCTCCCTGTCTCAGACACCCAGCCATAAACCAGTCATGTTCATTCTAAATTTTATATCTCGCCTCATGCTTGTATAGGGCCTTATGCTATCAGGGTGCAGGATTCCTTACCCATGACATCACCATCAAGGGAAAATATCCAACAAGTCAGAACTGAAGTGAATAAAATAATTTGTGGTTTCTCTTTTTACCCAGGCATTTATTATGGCACAAGATTCAAATTCTAGGCTGCAAACATGAATCTGGTCAATGGGATCTCTTATAGGTACCTTGAATGGCCCCTGAGGGACATGTTTGGAGGCATCAATCTCCATCAGGAACCCGAGGCAGGGAATCTTGCAATAGTCTCTGCTTTTTATAATAGCAGGTGAGGCTGTATTTGCTGAACACTCTTTTTAGGTTGCTGGGTCAAGATTTCTGAGTCATTTATTAAAAACACTGCAAAGTGAGTCCTGAGGAAGAGCAGGATACAGGCAAATCTACATAGTGGTCCATTGTCTAGAAGCCTGGATGGGCCCTTAGGTTTATCTTTTTTAAGGTGGGTATAGAATCCAGGCTCAGGCCTAGGTGATCACTGACTATTAAGGTACCATCCCCATAAACAGCCAGCCCTCTTTTAGTGTTGCTCCCTTCATGATGCTAGAGTTTGAACCCAGTGAACCTGGAGAGTGAAAGACAAGCATTCTACTACTAGGTAAACACTTTACCATCAAGCCATGCCCTTGCCTCTTTCGTTTTTTTGTTTTTATTTTCATTTGATGTGCATGGATGCTTTGCTTTCATGTATATCTATGCACCACTTGTGAACCTGGGGCCCACAGAGGACAAAAGAAGAAGTCAGATTCACCGGAATTAGAATGACAGATGGTTGCAAACTACCAAGTGGATGCTAGGTTTTGAACCCAGAGTCACAAAAGGGCAGCAAGTACTCTTATCCCTGACCCTTTCTCCAACTTCACCCTTTTAAACAAGAAATTTGTTCTCTTATTTAATATAATCATTAATATGTTACAGACTAAAAACACTTGTGGAATTAAAAATTATTCCAGGCTTGAAAGTGTAGTCCAGTGGTAGAATGTTCAACCTAGCATGAATAAGGCCCTAGGTTTGACCTTGAACATTGAGAGAGGAAAACATAACAAGTATCTAGGATTCTATCAACATCAATTTCAGTTCACTGAGTCTGGGCTGGAGCACTGGATGCAAAAATATTCTGAGGGGTTCTAAATCACAGTCATCAGGTGAGATCTCTGTTTCCAAGTAGTGATCCATGGACCAGAAACCTCATCAACTGCCTCAGTCATCCAATGAGCTATCCAGACTCCAGAGATGAGAGCTCAATGCCTTGTCTCCAGCAGAGGAACAAAAGAAGTGTGCGTGGGCCTAAATATGTTACCTTCATAGGTCAGAGGAAGTCCTGGGACTGGAGTTAGAGAAGGATATAAGCTACCGTGTGAATGTGGGAATATACTTGGGTCTTTCGGAAGAGTAGCTAGTTCTCTTAACCACTGAGACTTATTTCCAGCCCTCAGATTTTTTTTTTTAAAAACTACATTTTATTTATGTATATAGACACTGATGTGACATTCAGTTAGAGATCAAAGGGAAAATTTTGGGAACCTGTTTTCTCTTTCCATCATATGGTTGCTGAGGATTCAACTCAGGTCATCAGGTTGGGCAGCAAGTACCTTTAGTTCCTGGGTCATATTGCCAGTCCATTGTTTTACTGTTTTTTTTTTTTTTTTTTTGGTTTTTCGAGACCAGTTTTCCTCTGTGGTTTTGGGGCCTGTCCTGGAATTAGCTCTTGTAAACCAGGCTGGTCTCGAACTCACAGATATCCCCCTGCCTCTGCCTTTCAAGTGCTGGGATTAAAGGCGTGTGCCACCACCACCCGGCTGTTTTACTGTTTTTAAAAATTGTTCCCACCTCAGTCTCAATGTTTTAATGTTTAATGGAGCACTGGCCTCTTATATTGTAAAATATTTTAAAATATCAATCACAACAATACCATATTGTATTGTTCCATTTTTGCCATAATCAGTGTATGTAACAACTGTAATGTGACAGAGAGCACTACTAACAATTTGTAGATGATGACCTCAGACATCATGGAAGGAGATCTTGGAATAATTACCTTTCTCTTTTTCTTTGGTGGGTCTGGTACATACTTGTTCTGAAAGACAGAGATGTTGATGATGGGGTAAATCGTTGGTTTTATTTTGTAATTCTAACTGCTGTCTAGTTATTCTGTCTGAACGTACTATTGCTAAATATCACCAATAAAGGAAAATATCTAACAAGTTAGAGCCAAAGTGAATAAAATTATAATTTTTAATTTCTCTCTTTACCCAGACATTTACTATGACATAAGAACACACAATGTTCATATTCTAGGCTGCAAACATGAATCTGGTCCATGGGATCTCTTTTATAGATACCTAGAATGGCCCCTGAGGGACATGTTTGGAGGCATCTATTCCAACAGGGCCCTGGGCAGGGAATCTTGCAACAGGCTTTCCTTTTTATAATAACAGGTAAATTTAGAAGCCTGGTTAGACCCTGAGGTTTATCTTTTTTAATGTGGGCGTAGAACCCAAATCTAGACAATCACTGCACTATTAAGGTTCCATCCCCATATACATCCAGCTCTCTTTAAGTGGTGCTCCCTCCATGGTGCTGGAGTATGAACCTGAAGCATGATAGACAAGCATCTACCACTAGGTAAACATTTCACCACTTAGCCATGCTCTTGTTCCTTTGATTTTTTGTTTTTACTTTAATTTTATGTGCATGGATGTTTTGCTTTCATGTATGTTTACGTTTTAATTGTGAGCTTGGGGCCCACAAAGGACAGAAGGTGTCAGATTCGCTGGAATTAGAATTACAGATGGTTGCAAGCCACCAAGTGGACGCTAGGTTTTGAACCCAGGTCCTTGGAAGGAGCAAGTGCTCTTAACCATTGAGCCTTTCCCCAACCTCCTCTTTTTTAAACAAGAAATTTGTTCTTTTATTTAACAGTAATCATCAACATGTTATAGACTAAAATCATTCACAGAACTAAAAGATTTCCAGGTTTGAGAGTGTAGTCCAATGGGAGAATGTTCAACCTCACATGAAAGGGGCCCTAGGTTTGATCCTTAACACTGAGGGAAAAAAACAAAACACATATCTAGGATCCAATTGACATGAATTTCAATTTACTGAGTCTGACCTGGAGCCAAGCACTGGATGCTTAAACATTCTGAGGGGTTCTAATGCACAGCCATCAGGTGAGATCTCTGCCTGCAAGCAGTGGTCCATGGACCAGAAGCCTCAGGATTTACCTCAGTCATCCAATGAGCTATCCAGACTCCAGAGATGAGAGCTCAATGCCTTGTCTCCAGCAGAGGAACAAAAGAAGTGTGGGTGGGCCTAAATATGTTACCTTCATAGGTCAGAGGAAGTCCTGGGACTGGAGTTACAGATGGATATAAGCTACCGTGTGAATGCGGGAATATACTTGGGTCTTTTGGAAGAGCAGTTAGTGCTAGTTCTCTTAACCACCGAGTCATCTTTGCAGGATTTACGTCTTTAAAAATTGCATTTTATATGTGCAAGTGTATAGACACTCATGTGACAATGAGGTAGAGAGCAAAGGACATATTTAGGGAACCTGTTTTCTCTTTTAAATCATATGGTTGCTGGGGATTCAACTCAGGTAATCAGGTTTAGTTCCTGGGTTATATTGGCAGTCCATTGTTTTATTGTTTTAGAGAATTATTCCCACCTCATTCTTAAATGTTTTAATGTTAAATGGAGCACTAGCCTTTTATACTGTATAATATTTTAAAATATTAATCACAACAATACCATATTTTAAAATCCATTTTTACTATAATCAGTGAATTTAACAACTGTAATATGACAGAAATCACAACTACCAATTTGCAGATGATGGCCTCAGACATCATGGAAGGAGATCTTGGAATAATTACCTTTTTCTTTTGTGGGTTCGGTAGCAATTCTTTCTGAAAGATAGAGATGTTAATGATGGGGTAACTCTTTGCTTTTATTTTGTATTTCTACCTGCTTTCTAGTTACTCTGTCTGGATGTTCCATTGTTAAATACAAGTTGTCATGGAAATTGCTCCCCATGTGCCCTAATGCTGAGTCAAGGACACATTTAAACCCCTTTTTCTGGCCTTGTGATTTTCACAGTGAGCCCAGACAAGAGATGGTGCTTGATCTCCCACAGTTTCCAGACACATTGAGGGCTGGTTTCTAATGCCCTTCTTTCTCCATGCAGAAAGCCCCACCCTACACTTTATCAGAACTGTCCTTTGTGATCCAGCTCAGGAAAGACTGTTCCATAACAAGGCTTTCAGTCCTAAATCAAGAAATAGCCATCCCATCCCTTGGCTTCAGCATCATTTGCTACAGACTCCTCTCCTCCACAGTAGTAAGTGCAGGTAGGGTGTGAAAGTGCAGACTTGCCCTGGCCAGGGGCTCACATCTGTACTCCCCATGCTTTAGATGCAGCTCAGTCGATAGTTGATGAGCAAACTTTTTTGTTTTATTGTGAGGATGACACAGGGATAGGCCATCTGAGATATGTGACAGAAAGATCTGTGTACCCCACATCAAAAGAAACAGGGTCTACTACTAAGGGAACCTCTTGATTTTCCCAATTCAGGGGGTTGATATAAATGAAGAGCAAAGAACTTATTTCAAACTGCAATTTCAAATTATTTTCCTTTATTTAATCTTATTTTTGGCTAGATAGAGTTGAGGATGGTCTTACTCTGTAACCTCTCTGGCATATACTACAATGTCTAGGCCATCCTTGAGCTCAGAACAGTCTCCCTGCCTTAGTCTCTACAAGTGTTGGGATTACAGGTTTGGCTCACCACACTCAGGTATTCAAAAACAAGTGTGAGATGAGGACCTGGGAGAAGCCCTGCTGGAACATTCTGTAATGCAGGCATCAACACGGGTGCATTCTTTTTAGATGTGTAACTATATATTATTTTCATCACTGGAACTTCAAGTTTAAATCATAAATTTAATTTAAATTATAGTCATACTACCAAATTTTATGGAACTAGTTAGTGGTAAAGGTCACAGTCTTTTCATCCAAAGCATGCAAGTTAATACATTTAAGAGTATTAAGCTATAATGCAAGCTGGTCATGGTAATGCCTGAGTGCATGCTGGCAACAACCCATGCCATGGAACTTGGCTAAAAAGAATCATAACAGTATTGTTGACACTGCCATTTTGCCAACATCTGGTGCCAGTGAATTCTGATAGTGAAATCCTTGGTTGAAGAAACCATTCCCACTGAAGAGCTTCTAAACTGTTGTCTTGCAGTTTACATAGAAGCTTTTAATCCACCATCTTTTCCTGGAACCATGGAAGCTATCTGCCGCAGAATACCTCTATCAATTCTTTCAGGGTCCATTCATAACAACGTATGCTTTTCTTCCAGTTCTTGGATTTTTCAAGTTTTCCTCTGATTTCAAACTCCCTGGGCGTGAGCCACTTTTCATTGTCACTCCGTATACTCTTCTCATAGGTGCCTGTAAGACCAAGACCAACTGAGCAGCCAGCTACGAAAACACCTGCTCTTGCCCATAATGTCCTGGACTGGGGCTGACGTTTATTCTCAGGAGGATGTGCATTTTCCTCTCAGTCATCAGGACCCACACACCCATCCTGTTAGGTGATGGAGGAAGGTCATTAGTTAATTAATAAAGAAACTGCTTCGCCTCATAGGTTAAAACATAGGTGGGTGGAGTAAACAGAAGAGAGTGCTAGGAAGAAGAGGAAGTGAGTTCAGACTTGATAGCTCCCCTTTCCCAGGCAGACGCGATGAAGCTCTGACCCAGGATGGACGTAGGCTAGAATCTTCCCGGTAAGCACACCTTGGGGTGCTACATACATTATTAGAAATGGGCTAGTCCAGGTACAAGAGTTAGCTGATAAGAGGCTAGGTATAATGGGCCAAGCAGTGTTTAAATGAATACAGTTTGTGTGTTGTTATTTCGGGGCATAAGCTAGCCAGGCGGCTGGGAGCAGGGCAGCAGGAATGCAGCCCAAAGCTCCCCACAACAGAATGACGTCCAACGTGGGGCGACTGTATCCACAGAAAGCCTGAGAAGGATTGGGAAAGATTACAGTAAAGCATGTTTTCTTGGTAGCAGCAATTTCTTGGGTCTCTTCTGTTTGCTAGAGGCAAGTGCTCTCATCTAAGAGAGGCTTCCTGACTTAGCTTTAGCTGCAAAACCATGCAGCTCTTAAGAGGTCCTGCCATGAAACACTTAAATGGTGTTGATAAAAGCTGACTGAATGCTTGTTTGTTTTCGGCAGTAGCAGGAAAAAACCTGTGTTGTTTTAAAATGCCGGCTTTCTGGGTCATCCTGCCAGGGCAAACTCTTACTCTTTCAAGCAGGTGGTCCTGACTATGGAGGTTTTGAGTGTTAAACAACACTTAACTTGCTTGTTGGCAGGGACCTTGAAACGCCATAGAGTTGTTATAAAAATGGCTCTGGTGGTATCTCTGCCATGAGGCTGGAAAGCTAAGGAATGGGCTGGATCCAGCCATCAAAGCCACGGCTTTAATCCTACCCATAGTGCTCAGTAATTTAAAGGTTCATGTGTTCAGAAAAAGAGAGATACAGTAAAGAGAGATTCAAAAACAAAGAAAACCTCTAAATGATTTACAGTGTGTTGAAAATATGTGCAGGCTAAAAGTTAAAGTTCTTAAAGTAAAAAACAAAAAAGGAAGAAAGAGAGTAGTTGGGTGTGGTAGGACACACCTTTAATCCCAACACTTGGAAGGCAGAGGGAGATTGACCCCTGTGACTTCAAGGTGTGGTAGCACATGCCTTTAATCCCAATGCCTAGGAGGCAGAGTCAGAAGGATCTGTGAGAGTTCAAGGACAGCCTGATTTTCAGAGTTATTCCAGGACAAAGATATACAGAAAACCTGTCTCAAAAAGAAAAAATAAACAAAATAGAGTTAAAATAAAGCCATACAAAGATGGAAAATAAACAGAGAATTTTGATACTGTATGCTATTATGCTCTCTTTGAATTGTTTGAATGCTGAGGAAGGAGCAACAGCTGCTAAAAGATATTTGTTTATGAATGCTGCTGAACTAATCCAACATAGATATTTTGAAAATACCTTGACTTCAGAATTTAGATCTAAGGATATGATGCTTTGGAAAGGAGTTTCTTCTTTTGTTTTCACAGAGGATGTGACACTATGGATTGCTTCCATCCCAATATGGTATGATAGACCACACCCTCCTGAAAGCTTGCTGTGAACACCTTCAGAAAATTACTTCATTTAACTGCCAACTGAGATGAATCTAGCACACAGGTTATACCATGAAAGACCTAAATAACTGCACCCCCATTCAGCAGGAAGCAGTTTGGAGAGAAAAAACTGCGCCCATGTTCCCAAATATTGTTTATAAATGTTTTTTTACATTTAAAGGGGGGGGATATGATATAGATATGAATAATTTGCATTAGTATAGATTTTGCTTTATTGATAGAGATTTAAGGTCAATTTTGTTATATGTATTTCTGATCTTGATTAAGGTATTGTGATTGTGTAGTTCACTTAAAAATGTAATGTATATAGGTTGTTAATAGATAATCATAATAGTCAAGTTTGTAGTCATGTTAGTTAAGATTTTCTAGATGTACATAGATATATTTTAGATAGGCATTCTTCATATTTCTCAAAGATTATAGAATATGGCATTTTAAAGTTTTAATAACTTAGGGTTTTTCATGACAATGAGACATATGTGCTCCTGGAAACACCAATCTACTTCAAATGGAAGATGGGCATTGAAGAGGCTCCTTATGGAGTTTGATAGCCATTTGGGCAAGAAACTGCTTTTGTCTGGACTGATGCATAAACTGGACACAGAGAACCCTCAGAGAGAGGACTGCTGAACTTGCCTAAAGGTGAGATGACCTTTTGAGGTTCCTGATTCATGAAGGAGTCTGCGAGACATTCTGCAGGACACAGCAGATAGTGACTGAACTGACTTTGAAATTTCCTGCTTCATGGAAATGTCTCTGGATACTATGGGCCTGTAGGCCAAAGATGGATGCCCCAACGGTACAGAGAAATTTTGGGTGATTGTCCAGGCAGCGAGATGTCTCTGTTATTTCTAGAGTTTGGAAGTTGCTTATTTCTTGTTTGCTTAGGTAATATTGTATCCTTCTTGAGTCTTTGATGGAGTTGAAGAATAGATAGATAGTTATAGTTTTCCTTAGTTATGATAAAGATAAAATAGTTGTAAATATTGTAATTTTTACTTGATAACTGTTTTGTTATATGTATTTTTGCTATGTTAAAATTTAAGCCTTCATATTTTTTTTTGTTTAAACAGAAAAAGGGGAAATGATGGAGGAAGGTCATTGGTTAATTAATAAAGAAACTGCTTGGCCTCAAAAGTTAAAACATAGGTGGGTGGAGTAAACAAAACAGAATACTGGGAGGAAGAGGAAATGAGCTCAGACTCGATAGCTCCCCTCTCCCGGCCAGACGTGATGAAGCTCTGACCCAGGATGGATGTAGGCTAGAATCTTCCCGGTAAGCGCACCTTGGGGTGCTACATACATTATTAGAAATGGGCTAGTCCAGGTGTGAGAGTTAGCCGAGAAGAGGCTAGATATAATGGGCCAAGCAGTGTTTAAAAGAATACAGTGTGTGTGTTGTTATTTTGGGGCATAAGCTAGCCAGGCAGCTGGGAGCAGGGCGGCAGGAACTCAATGAAAGCTCCCCACAACAGACAGGTAAGGTCAGAGAATGACTACCACTGACATTATCTGTAGGGTAAGCCAGCCCCTTAGGGGACGGGCTTGCCACGGGCAAATGTTTACTTATAAATCGGGCGCACGGGAGTCCGCGTGCCCCTTCTGCTTCCTGTACTCCACGGGAAACTTGGTCCTGTAAGTCTATTTCTTCATTATAGCTGTATATATTATTTACAATCTGCCTGCATTCATTTACGCCGCTACAGTCATCCTTTATGAATTCATCTATTTTATGTGTATTGTTGCTTTGTCTGTGTGTCAGTGCACATCATCTGTGCTTACTGCCCAGAGAAGCCAGAAAAGGGCACTGAATCACCTGGAACTGTAGTGATAGGTTGTTGTGAGCCAAGTGTGGTTGATAAGAATTGCATCTGCATCCTCTGGAAGAACAGTCAGTGTGCTTAACCACGAAGCCATTTCTCCAGCCTTTGATATTACTTTTAAAAGCATTCTACTGTAATATTAAAAGATTTTTTTAAAAAAAGAAATTCCCTAAAACATGACTAGGGTTCTTTTTCCTCCTTTTACTGTGACCCAGTGTAGGGCCAACTTGCATTTCAAAAAGGTGAGTAAAGGCAGAAAATTCCCTGCTGGGTTCTTGTGCACCCAGCCATGAGGAAGCTGTCACCACAGCTACTTCTATAACATTACTCTTCCAACTCATGACAGTTGGTTATTTCTCATATTTGAGATTCACGACTAGTGTAGGGTTAAGACAGCCCCTTTAGGGGGCGGGGTTTGCCTCTGGTGAATGCCTACAGATAAATGGGTGCGCGGGAGGCAGCTCCGCCCTTTCCTTCCTACCTCCTGTGCCATGCGGGAACTTCGGTTCTGTAAGTTTATCATTAAAGTGGTAAATATTCTTTAATATCTGCATTGCATTTATTTACGCCGATACAGACTAGTTGATGTCAAAAGTTATTTTGGAAATGTTATCTACGGGGACCAGTTAAATTACATGTAGGCAGTAGAATCATAGGGAAAACACCTATTTGTTGCTGACAAAAGAACTATATTGGGGCTAGGGAAACGGTTCAGTGGTGAAGAATATTAGCATCCAGAGGAACTTGTCTCCACCCCTTAAGGATATGAAGGAGTCCATCTAACCTTGTGTCAACACTGTGTGCAGGCAGGCAGCATCCTTTCTCTCTAAAAGGTGAGACTCTGTCTACTTCTCTTTCTCCTTCCTCTTCCCCCCTCTGCATCCCTCTCTTTCTCTCTCTATCTCTCTTTTGCTCTCCCTTTCTTTCTTCCCTCCCCCATTCCCTTTATCTCAATAAAAGTCCTCACTTAAGTTCTGTCTGCATGGCATATTTGTCTCTCGCCCATCGTGAGGCCCCTGGCTCTCACCCGCCAAGGTCCCTCTCACACAGAATATATATTTGGTGAATATTTGAATATTTGGTGCCGCCAGACATGATAGGCTCTCCTGGAAGTTCCTCCTGAGGACCAGCAGTTTGAGAACTGCCAGAACCCTGTACTTTTAAACCCAATCATTTTTCCAACTAGGGATTGCTGGAATTCTATATCCAACAGCAGGAGAATTGGCAGTAACAGTGGGATTCTTCCCTCCCCGACCATGTTTCTATGACTGAGGATTCGTCTTGGCCATGATTTCTTGTCTTCTGGGTTTGTTCAAAAGACCCAGTACTGGGCACTCATAGTCTCCGACTTGGAGCCCTGATTTTGTGCTCTGTGGACCATGAAATCAGCCTGTACCTTTCAGATCAGATCCTCCCTTAGACCCTGGGACCCTGGAGATTACAAGCTTAGGATCTTCTCTACCTCACTCATGGAAACTACACCTCAGTCAGATATCAAACCATATAGCGGCTTATTGGCAGTCTACACTAATCCACCAGTGATCCATAGTAGGAGGCACAGCCTCTGTTCCTTTTCCCTTTTCTCTTTGCTTGTTTGTCTGCTTCTTGTTCCCGATATACGATCTAGCCACGCTAAAACTCTGTCTTCTGCCCGTTGCAGTAGCCTCCTCCCCTCTCCCACCATAGCTAAGCCTGTCTCAGGGTGGGATCCTCTCTCTGCCTGGAAACACTCTGTCTCATTAGGCATCTCTTGCTCTTCTGTTTGTCCTGTCTCTGCCGCTGCCACTGCAACTTTCAGCCTGGGATGGTGAGTTCCTCTTTCCCGTCTGGCTGCACTACTACTCTGTTTCTCTTCTCTGTGCTCCAGTTCATGATGTGCCTTCTGCTTCCACCTGCACGGCAAATGCTCAGCCACCCTACCCACAGTGGGCTGTCCTGAGACCAACAGCATCTCCTCGGGAATACCTTTTGTTTCCTGTCTGTTTCATATGTATTGAAGAATGCGCAAATGATGTGGTCACATGAATGTGATTCTGAATGCCTGCATTCCTTATGTGTGTCTTATGAAGTGCATATGGTTTTAAATCTATAAGGTAGCTTACAACACATGGGCTCGTGCCATCTTGGCTGGGATAGGTAAGATGACCTAACTGCCATCTTTGCTAAGGGTGACCATGTGACCTTTTTGTTCAAGGTTAAAAGAGATACTTCACCACCATCTTGATGAAGGGCAAGAAGGACAGGTGAGGTGACCCAGTCATCATCTTTACTAAGGTTGCTCTTTGTCTCGTCTCACCTTTTACTCAAGTTTTCATCTCTACTTCCTCTTATACTGACTCTGTTGAGTGTGGTATATTTGTGCAGTGGTGTGTTTTGTGGCAGGGCCCACCAGAGCAACCATCTCGCGCAGGAACCCAACCTACCCACGTCACCTGCAGTGAATCAGCTTCTTTTCTTGGCTCCAACGCCCTGCATATGTCTGTCTACTCTCTCTTTCTTTACATGCCCTGTCCTTTTATTACAACATGCAAGTCAGAGACATAGAAGCCAGCTTCCAATTGCTCAGTATTCTTGTGACTTTTGATTTAAGTTTGTGTGACTATAAGCTAGCTTTAACTCTGTATGTGTGTGTATGCAACTTAAATTCAACTGAGTGTACATGTACTCGTGTTTATTGTTAAAAATGCTGTAAACAGTTCTAATGATTTTTCTTCATTGTACCTCTTTCTAGAATAAGAAAACAAGTCTAGAATATTTTAAATCAGTATGCACTTTTAGAAATGATAAAATTTTATGGCTAGATCTGTTACAACATACTGTATATGTGATTCAACTCTGTTTAAAAATGTATTTTATATTCTGATAAAAATTTAAGTTTAGAAAGATCTATTTCAGATTAACAAAAGCTAACTTAGAGATTTACACTACCCAGCCCTTCCTGTAAGCTGTTCTTCACTGTTGTCAATTTTTAATGTTAAGTTTTTATTGAAAAAGGAAATTTTTCTTTACCCTTTGTCCTTCTCAAGCATAAATCTGACCTGCTAAGATAAAAACCAGTTACAGTGAAGATGGAGGACTTTGGGTAAAACATTTTTCCGCAACGGCTCAGCTTGGATTCAGTTCTCCAGGCAGATCCTGTGCTAGTGTCATTGTAATCATTACTCAGATACACCCAACAGACAGCCCTCAGATGCTCAGAGATCTGGAGAGAACGGCATTTAAAATGTTTATTTAAAAAAGGCCTTTTGTAATAGAGAAACGGGTCAGCTCCTGGCATCACCCCTTATTTCTCCAAAAAAAAAAGATGGATGGGAACAGGAGAACGTCCAACTAGAACTTGCTTCACAAGTGGCAGCACTAGCCACTGATCAAAACTGCTCTTCACCTCAGCTGCTGTCGAAACCCTCTTCAGACTGTGGACAATGGAACACTGGAATCGACTACCTCATATTACTAGACAATAGGTAGACTGATCTTCCTACAAATTCCTAAACCACGGGATCTTCTGAAGACTGGCAGGTCTAGACCTAATAGCAGAAGAGTGATGTTGCCCTTAGTAACCATGGAGGATCCTGGGGAGTGACTGTCTAGGGAGCCAATAAAGTAAGTCTCTGCCATCTTTAATCATTATAATCCTTCTCAAGTTCTTTGCTGCAGTTTGACAACTGGTAGCTTTGCCAGCTTAACAGCAGGAACCAAGGCTGCAACTGCTCTCTCAGTTCTCTATGTAAAATTCAGCACACCGGCCTCACCGCATCTCTCTGTCTGCCTCTCCTTTTCTTTCTATCCCTATCTCTCTTTCCCTTTCTCTCTTCCATCCTCAATTCCCTTTATCTCAATAAAACTTAAGCTCTGCCTGCATGGCATATCTGTCTCTTGCCTGCCATGAAGCCTCTGGCTGTCACCTGCCAAGATCCCTCTCACCCAGAATCATTACAAAGGGCACTGCTGTTCCTGCAGAAGACCCAGGTTCAGTCCTCAGAACCCACATGGGGCTCACATCCATGACTCCAGATCTGATGTCCACTTCTGGTCTCCATGGCCACCAGGCACACTCAGTGCACAGACACATGCAGTCCAACACTCATAGTCAGAAAGTAAAAGTAAATCTTAAAGAAAAACTGTGCTGTGGAAAGGAAGATCAACCATGATAGAGGACCAGTGGCACTGTACCCTAACAATCACAATTTCCACAGCATTTCATTTCCATTATCTTTTTTATCATAACAATATGGTGAGAGAAGTGTTATTCTCATTTCAAAGTAGAAGAGGTTTAGTATTAGGGAGCCTGATGCAGACGACAGAAAAACTTGACTTGAGGTTGAGCTGTGGTTTCAAAGTCTCCCCCCAGAAGTCATATATCGAAAACCTGGTCCTTGACAAGGTGTTATGTGAGGTGGCACTAGATCATGGAGGGTGCTGCCTTTGGGAGGGATTAAGATAGTTCTCATGGGATTCCAGCCACTGTCTGGCTTCCTGTCTTATGGTGGGATCTCTACCACCTTCATGTCATACCCCTGCCATAATACCATCTGCCCTCAGTCTCTCTCCAAAGGCCCTTATATGAGGCTGCCTGATCTTGGCCTTTTAGCCTCTAAATCTGTTTGTTAAATAGAGCAGCCTGAGTTGAACATTTCAGTAGAGCAAAGAACACTGGACTAATACACCAAGAGAGCTGAGGTTAGAGTGTATTCAAATTCCAATACAAATCCTCTGTGTTTATTTTTTTTAAACTTAGCTTAAAGTCTGACAGAGGTTACAGCTAATGGACCCACAAAGGTTGATGCTGACTTTCTCAGACACACACATTTCCTACCCAGGTGTGTTAGGGCTTACTCTGGTATGAGATGCTAAACAGGCATCTTATTACCCTTTTTCACAGGGGGCAGGGGAGGTAGCCTGATAGGCCAGGGACGTATGACATTTAAACTCTCAAGACTGCAGTCTAGGGTGCAGCTCAGTGAGAGAGCCTTTGCCTCACAGGCACAAGGCCCTGGATTTAATCCTAATAGTACAAGAAAATGAAAAAGAAAAAAAAACAGCAATGCCCTTATTGCTGCCCCTCCCTTGGGTTTGGTGCAGAAAAGAATGAACACAACAGGTCTGAGACTCTCCAAAGAAACACCACCATGCGGAGTCGGACTTTGGCTATAGTCTGCAAATGTGACTTTGGAGAGAGCTTCTGTCAATGCCAAAATCACAGAGTAACTCTCCATGCCGAGACCATTTATACACAGCTCACTTCCCACAGGAGACCCATTTTCCTCTTGAGTATCTGGATTAGGTGTGCGCTATGCAGATAGGTACCTGCATAACTCCATGCTGTTAGAAGCCCTGATTTGGGGCTTGGGCAGCCCCTTGGAAGAAAGCCTTTCACACTTTCATTGCTGGGGTAGTTGATTGCACCCTGTGTGTTCCCACTAGGAGAGCAATGTTAAGTATTTTTGGCTCCTCTGGACTTGGCCTCTCACGCCCTCTTCTCATTTGTAACTTGACCTCAAATCCTCACTTCAGTAATGGGTGTGACGTTGCCAATATCCTGAGTCCCGCAACCTGACTCTGGGATGAGACACCCCAACACAGGTGCCCATCTCATACATGGTGCCATTGTCCAGGTGAAGAGCACAGAAAATCTGAAACTCACCTTTCTTAAATTTCTCCACATACAGAGTCCCCTCAGCAGTACCACAGGTCACCGGAAGCTCAGGACGGTTAAAATCCACATTGCTTTGTCTAGGATCTGTCAGTCCTGCAGGGACATATTTTGCTTTATTCTAGAACTATGCACGCCCTTCCCTCTATCCACTTTGGTATCTTGTTTCTGCAACTAATTCCCAGGAATTACTTATACTTGAAGGTATTTCTTTATGAATGATTAGATTCTTACAGATAACAACCTGCTCTGCTCCTATCCTCTGAACTGCATAGTGGCTGAAGCCTCGTGTGTCAGAATCCCAGCTCTCAAACAGGTTGGTTGGTCACAGCAGCCACTGTACAGTGACTTATCTACAAATATTTTGAATAGATCGTTCTCATTATGCAATGGCTTTGGAGTTCTGCAGGTGGGAATGATAACTCTCAAATTTTGTTCTGCTGTTGGAGGCATCTCTGGTAGAGGGGGATGGGAGGGGCACCCAATGAGGTGATGTAATCACTCTCCTTTCATCTGATTTGCTGTCTTTCTCCTCTCCTGAGCTTGCCTGAGGCCTCAGGCAGTGGCTCTAGAAGATTCTGCAATTCTAGAGGAGCCCTGCATACCACACTAAGGGTGCTTGTGTTAGACACATAAAGCCATAAGGTTGTTTAAATTTAAACAATATGGTTTTGATATGGCTACCTGATATGTCAGCTAAAACATGGCTGACAGTGTACATGGCGGGAAGTGTGGGAACAATGAGGTAGCACATTGAGTAAGCTGACACCAGATATCTGGAGACCCCAAAGTAAATAGTGATGTCATGTTTTAGATAATCAGTTCTGGTAGAGAGTTGCTTTTGCGTGGCTTTGAGACCACCTTTACCAGCTTGCCTGCCTGTATGTGTCTATCTGCAGGCTTGTGTGTCTACCTTCACTCACCCTGCCTGTCTATGCCCCAGTGCATGCCTGGTGCCTGCTGGTGATGCCTGTGTCTGGCACCCTGTGTGTATGTCTCATTTGTGTGGGATCCAATTTCATTGAACCAGATATTGAAGGCCTTAAAATGAGCTTCCGTATTAGTGGCTCCCGCTTTTCCAGCCAGTTAAAGTTTCCATCAAAGACACTGTGGGGCTGGGATGGGGTGGGAGGAGCACCCCACAGCTGCTTCAGAGCAGTCTCTCAAAACAACATTGGCCCTGGCAGGGCTCTCAGGTTAACTCACCTGAAACTGGATGCCACATTTTCTTTTTTAAAATGTGCATTGGCATTTTACCTACATGTACATCTGTGCATGGGTGTCAGATATTGGGGTTACAGTCAGTAATGAATTGCCATGTGGCTGCTGGGAATTAAACCCAGGTTGCCTGGAAGAGCAGTTAGTGCTTTTAAATGCTGAGCCATCTCTTCAGCCCCTCCTAGTCTCATCTTTACAGATAAATAGAGTTAAGAAATGACAAATGACAGGCTAAAGGCACACAGGAGTTGAGGAATTAGAACACAGGTCTTGTTTACCATCAAGGTCTGTGTGTTTCAATGGCTTTCTACACTGGCAAGGAAAAGTTATGCTAAATATCATGTGGGTCACATACTTTATCTCTTACCTCAAATATGTTCAGTACATGAAGACACATGCAGCCCTGGATCCCTCCCAAATTAACTAAGTAGTAGGAGGAATGAGAGTTACCAGCAATCTGTCTGGTTCTGTTGATACTGACCAACGCTGCTGATGATCTTATGACTTCGTACTGATTTCCACAGCCAATCAAGAAAGCCAGCTTGTCACTCACCGCACAGAGTACACAGTAAGAGCTTAGCTACTTCGTCAACGTTTGTTGTGGCACTATTGACAAGCTGTGGACCCCACCCTAGGTGTCCACCAGCAGAGGAATCAGTAAAGAAACTGATTTATGTACACAGTGGAATTTCTCTCAGCCATGAAAAGAAAATCAAAATTATTGCCATTTGCAGGAAAATGGATACAACTGGAGATCATCATGGTAGGCACACTTAGTGAGGCTCAGAAAGACAAAGGCGTGTTTGCTCTCATCTGTGGCTCTTGAGTATTTGCAGAGAGACACAAAACTATATGTACAGATGATAAGAAAGTAGGAGCAAATTTGTCTGGGAGACAAAGGGGGATTAACAGGAATCGGGAGTGGAGGGCCATGGGCCCTGGTGGAATTTGCTCAAAGAATGCTTATTTACTTGCATGGAAATTGTCTATGAGACCCAGTATAATATAGTATAAAATGAAAAAGAATTATTTAATTCCAGGCATGGTTGCATATGCCTTTAATCCCAGTACCTGGAAAGCAGAGGTAGTTGGATCTCTATGAGTTCAAGATAAGACTGGTTTACACAGCATTTTCCAGGCCAGCCAGGACTGCATAGTGAGTGAGATCCTGCCTCATAAACATTTTAAAACATTATTATTCATTGAAAGTTGTTAAATCACGTTTTTCTTTACCTTGTTTTCTGCGTCTTTGTGAAGAACTGTTGATATGTCTCCCTGTGTAAGCTGAGAAAACATCACACAAGTCTCTTATTGGTAACATCACATTGCAAGTAACACTTTACAGAAACACTGTTTAAAGCTAACTTTTCTGAATCCTGTTTAGTACTTTCTGAAAAATAAAATCCAGACCAGAAGTCAGGAGCATTTCCGGTAAAGGCCTGGACAGTAAACATCCAAGGTCTTGTGGTCGCTGGTTTGCTTTGTGATTCCTTAGCTTTTCATTCATATGAAGAAGCATCCATAGACTACATGTAAATAAAAGGAAATTTTCTAATAAAACTTTATTAATAAATAACTGACAAGTCAGATTTTTCCTCTTGGCTATAGGTTGCTGACTTCTGATCTAGATTTAATTATAAAGGTGGCAATCATCAGGTTTATGTGTTGACTAGATGTGACACACACACGAAAAGAACAAGTCACTTTATGAGTGTGATTAAGACAATAATGGCCAAATCAGTTTGAATGGTAAAGTTGGGGATTTAGAGGTCTGTTTGTTCCTTCTCAGTCTGTGCCCACAGCTGGCATCACAAGGAGATTTTTTAGGAAGTGCAGACCCTGAAATAAAACCTCCTCCATATATGCAGTCATAAGTACTCCTTCCTTTGAGCAGGGCACGTCTAGATTGGGTTGCAAAGGAATCTTGCCTTAGTGAGATGTAAGGAATTCTTGAGATAAATAATACTACGTTTTCTGGGTCTTGGTCATAATAGTTACAAAGATACTTAAAAAACCCCATGTTAGTCAATCTAACATGCTACTTAACTTACAGATGAGTTCAGCTGAGACATAAGGGAAGAGATGACTGACTCAGGTGTTGGGGACCAAGAAGCCCCCTGACCTAAAGTACTGGCCAATCTTCCTCATCCTCTCTGCAAAAACAGCTTGCTGCCAGAACAGCTTGCTGCACAAACAGCTATGACACAGTTCTCAGAACGGCCTAACCACAAGGTGTTCCAAAACACGGCCTAATCACTAGATGTTTCTAGAGATATATTGCTTCCTCCCTGGCCTAGGGCGCGATAGTTTCTGCTCCCCTCTAACCCTACCCCTCCCTATCAAAACCACTCTATAAGAATAAACCCCTGCCTGCAATAAACGGAACCTAGACGCATCTTAGACTGACTCTGTCATTCTTTATACGCGCTTGGTTCCCTTTCTCTTTCCCCCCATTCCTACCCAGGTGATCCCGAACTCGAGGCCCACGAATGACGTGGCCTGCTGGACGGGTCACTCAGGTCCATGCAGTGACCTCATGGAGTTGATCCTGAGGAGGGGCAGCTGTACCATTTGTCACTCACAGGTGTTCATTCTGTTTTGCTTGACAACTAATTCTGCCATCAAAAGTTCAGCAGAGGTTGTAGTGACCTTGTCTAATCATAGATGCATTAAGTCACTTGTTAGTGGGGCTGTCTTCTTTTGTTTCTTTCCCCAATGTACTTTGGGAACTGACTAAATAGGGTATGTTTTTCAACAGTTACCATGGCTACAATGAGCAGTTAGAGAAGTAGATTTGTTATTGGAAGTATATAATTTAAAAAATGAAAATTCAGTATTGAAAATATTTTGTTTTTAACCTTTTTTCCAGATTGTGGGCACTGGCATTTTGATGTTCCGAATTACATATTTTCCAATGTTGTTTCTCTTTTTCCCTGAGAAAATAGTAAACAAAAACAAAATCAGATACTTCTGAAAGGTTGCAATTTAAAAGCAGAATAAAAATGATAAAAATGTAATACTTTGAAAAACTGAGATTGCCAATTTAAAAGACATTCAGTTTGTTTTACTAAAGGTATAGTAAATAATAATATCATTTAACATCAAATGATTTCATTTGTAACATGAAGGTAAGAAAATTCCATTTGTGCTTACTTATTTTTTTTTGACCATGCTTTCCCGAGGTAGAGTTGTTCTCAGCATACGTGGTATCTACAAAGCAAAGGTGGCGTTCAGAGAACTTTAAACTCTGATAAAAGTCACAAGCAGTACAACAGTTTGTATCATAGCTTGGGAAGCCTGGTGTGTGTGTGTGTGTGTGTGTGTGTGTGTGTGTGTGTACATACTACAGTATTTATGTCACTGGGTTTAAAAGTACTATTATTTTGCTATTTTTTCCTCCCACATCAGCAATATATAAGTATGTAAATTTAGTTGATAGGATTCAGCCTGTTAAACATGAGTTCATGGTCACTTCCTGCTTCCTACACTTTCTAAAATTAAAAAGGGGTTCCCAGGATAGCTGGATATATACCAGCCATAACACTGAGAATGAAATGTGTCTAGCCACAGTGGCCTTGCTGACATCCTGAGGGCCAAGGCTGGGCGTCCTAATCTTCTACACATGACCCACATCTTAGGTATTCCCGAGATTCCTCCCTGGTACTCAATTCAGAGGAGGAGCTACTGTGTATTCCCGCAGGAAAAAGGAAAAGTCCTGAACAGTTCTAGTCTTCGGAACCAATCCAGCAAGAGATTCTTGACTGGAAAAAAGGGCTGGGAAAATAGCTCAGTCGGTAAAGTGTTTGCCACTAAGCATAAGGACCTGAGTTCAGATCCCCAGTACTGTGTAAAAACCTGGTGCAGCAGTGAGCAGCTACGATCTCAGAGCTGAGGAGACATAGACAGGAAGGTGTCTGAAGCCCACTCACCAGCCACCCTCACTGTATCAGTGAGTTCCAGGTTCAAAGTGATACCTTTGTCTCAAAATGAGGCAGAGAGATAGAAGAAGATATTTAACAATCAACTCCTGGCATCTACACATATGCACAAATAGAAACCTATATGAGGGTGTAAGAAGGCTCAATCCTGCCAAATTGAAGGGTAACTGGGGAGGGATAGTTCTGCCAGCCTGTGAGGGAGAGGACGGGTAGGTTTGGGTAACCCTGCAGCCTGTGTGAGAAGGGTAGGACAGACCTGCAGTTTATTTGGGAGGCAGAGAGACAATGCTGTCAGCAGGCCAACCTTGCCTTTATCTGAGCTGTTGGTCAAACTTGCTCCAGAAACTGTCCCCAACGCTGGAGCTGGGGCTGGGGCCAACTTTGCCCTGGTGGCCATTCTCTTCTATAATTGTTTCTTAGACCTCATGCCCTTTCTGAGGTTATATGTGCACCATCTGCTTCCCTTTCTGTTTACTATGGAGTCTTGGCCCTAGAAATGTGGAATGAAGTGACCTCTCCACCCAGGATCAACTTCATCCTCTTTACTTGGGTGAAAAGCTTGTACTGTTGACTGTTTTTGAGACCTGTGTGCCATTGCCAATGGCTCCAACTCACTTGAACCAAAAGCATCACGTGAGTGATCTACCATCCAGGCTAATTCTCTTTGGCTTAAAAGGGTGTCTAGTTTTAGTTACAGAGAGAAGTATTTGCTACATCTAGAATTTTAAATTGTTCTTACGTCTTGTCCTTCTTTGTCTTTTCCTGGTGTTTGAGCTCTTAGTATCAGACGTATCTGGAAAGAAAAAGGAAAAGAAAACCAACAATGTAGAACCAAAATGCCCACAGGAATTCCTTGACATCTTAAGTAGTCAGTATTGAGTATATCTGCTTAAATGGACAGTATTTGGACTACAAAGATGCTCTCATGATCTTTCCTGTTTCTTTCCTTCCAAAAAGGATAGAGACCCACAGCCATTCAATCCTCACTGCAAATCATCCCACAAATTCAATACTTGGGGGCTGAGGGGTCTGGCCATGTGTAAGAAGAAGAGCACTGTCGCTCAACTATGGTCTCATTAAACCCCAATTCATAATGATTTTGAATGAATAAGTGAGGACATGGCTGCTCCTAGGTATGGTTGAGGAGGAGATTTATTGTAAATGTGAGGGAGATGTTCTGGAATAATCTTTTCTGTACACAGCGAAGATGTGTCTTTGCCAAGGCACCTTCTGACGGGTTTAATAAAGCAGTTGACTGGCTGGTAGCTAGGCAGAGGTATAGGCAGGACAGCCAGACAGAGCATGGTGGGAGGAAAGAAGGGTGGAGTCTCAAAAGTCAGGGAGAAAGAGAAGGAAGCAAGATGAATGTGCTGTGTGTAAAGAAGGTACAGCCACATGGCAAAGGGTGGATAAGAATTACAGGCTAGTTTAAAATGTAAGAATTAGCTGGTAACCAGCTTGAGCTATCACCTGAGCATTTATAAATAATAGTAAGTTTCTGAATGTTTATTTGCTGAGACACAGAGAAACTCTGTTGCTGAGACACAGGGGTCACTCCTGAGAAATGATACCTGAAGAATATTACCTGAGGTTGATCTCTCAGCTACACATACACACGTGAGACACAAAGACACAGATACACTCACATACACATATACACACACAGAGAGAGACAGAAGAGAGAGAGAGACAGAGAGAGACAGAGAAACAGATAGATAGACAGAGAAAGACAGAGGCAGAAAGAGTGTGTTATGCTCAGCTCCTCACTGTAGAAATGTGGCTAGCTGACAATATCAATTGGGGAACCAAGAAAGAAGAAAAGTCTAGAAAGGGGAAACTAGGTAAAATTTGCAAAGCTCTGAAATTCCAGTACAAGAATGTCCCTACCCTTGGAGCTCATGATTTTACCTCAGGTTTACTATTTTATCTTATGAGCTAACCCTGAAGGTGAGGGGATTCTCATACCACACTTTTCTTTTACTTGTTCCTTTTGGGGTCTCCTGTGACGTTTGTATCTTTTCAACATGTTTTGACAGCATTGCCTTTCTCTTGGGGGTAATTATGGGAGTGTTAAATAAAGATGGTGGGTCTTCTATTTCTCTGATGACCACTGGGAACAGGGCCAGGCAACTCTTCCACCCAAAAATCTGTACTAAAAAATTGAACTTCTTCTAAATATTAGAAAGTCTTTTAATATATGAATAAAATCACTAACTTCTTTGTATTCACCCAATATAGCAGTTAGCCTGCCTGATCAATTAAGTTAAAGCAGGAATTACCTAAAATCAAAACCAAACTTGTATTGTACTTTGAAGAATAGGGCCAAGAAGAGTGAATCTCTTGTTGAACTCTTAAAGAGTCCTCATTTTCTCTTACCTCTTCTCCTATGTGTGTTTATGGATGTAGGAGGATTTCTGGAATTTACAGGCTCTGTAAGATAAAAAAGAGAAAAACTATTATGTTATGGGAAATTATTTTAAGATGTGTAACAGTTGTTTGTGCTGTGGAGCATTTGTTTAATGATGCAAAGATGTGTTGCATTCTTTTATGTCGTATTTGTTAACTCTGCGAAGCTGTGTTACTCTGCCTGCCTAAAACACTTGAGAGCGAGGCAGGAGAAAGGAAAGGTGGGGCTGGCAGGCAGAGAGAATAAACAGAAGGGGAAATCTGGGAAGAGTAAGGAGAAAGAGCAAGAAAAAGAAGAGAGGAAGATGCTAGTGGACAGTTGCTCCCCAGCCCCCCAGCCAACCATGCAGTAAGTGTGAAAGTAGGACTACAGAAGTAAGAAAAAGACAAATGTCCACAGGCCAAAGGTAGACAGGTTAATTTAAGAAAAGCTGGCATGGCCCCAAGCGGCAGAGACCAGGCATGCAGGCCCTGGCAGATGCTGGATAGTCCAAGAATGAAACAGTGAAGCCCACACTGAGAGCAGATCGCCCCACTACAACTAAATCAAGTAGGTTTTGGGGGGCTTGGCCTGCAGAGTGGTAGATCTTTTATTGGCGAGGTCCACGGGCAAACGGAGAGCCTGGTCCTGCCCCTGAAGACCCTCCTGAGTGGGGAAAGTGTTCTGGGCCCACGGTGGGACACAGGAAATGGAGCAGGGGCATTCCCCGACCTCCTTGACACCCCCCCCGTTAGTCTGCGAGGGCTGGTACCCTCTGCTGGGGCTGCCCCTCCTCTGCTGTGACCTCTCTCCCCCGACCCATCCCAGCTTGCACCCAGGGCCTCCTTCACTCCCCCTCCCTTTCGTGGGGCCGCGGGATCACCCAGTTTACCCTGTTTGGGCGCTGGGTCCGGAGCTCGGGGCAGAGGGCAGCGGGAGTTTCTCTGTTTTGGTGGCTGGCCTGCAGAGGGGTTGGCCTTTTGTTGGCAAGGTCCCTGGTGAATGGGGAGCCTGATCCTGGTCCTGAAGACCCTTCTGAGTGGTGAGAGGGATCTTGGCCCGCAGCGGGATCCAGGAAATGGAGCGAGGGCATTTTGTAAGCAGAGCCACTGGCCAGCAGGGAAACCTGAGCCTGTTTTAAAAGACCCATTAGATAGCATTGATAGGAAGAGATGGGCAGTCACCAAGGCAAGAACTCACCCAACAATCTGAAAAACAACATGAAAACACCAGAACCCAATGATCTTACAACAGAAAGACTTGAACACCCTAAAACAGAAGAAGAGGAAAAAATTGACTTTATGAAAGCAATAGAGTCCCTTAAACAACATGTAACAAAATGTCCTTATAGAAACGGATGAGAAGTATAACAAAAAGTTTGAAGAAATGAGTAAATACATAAATGATACCCTGGGAAACAAGAAAAATGATCAAACAGGTAATAGAAACAGTTCAAGAATTGAAAACTGAAATGGAAGAAAGGAAGAAAACACAAACTGAGGACCAGCTGGATATGGAAAATCCTGGTCAATGAGCAGCGACTACAGAAACAAGCATAATCAATAGAATACAAGAGATAGAAGAAAGAATCTCAGATGCTGAACACCATAGAGAAAATAAACAAACTGATCAAAGAAAACAGCAAAGCTAACAAATTCTCATCACAAAACATTCAGGAAATATGGGACACAATAAAAAGACCAAACCTAAGAATAATAGGGATAGAAGAAGGAGAAGAGTCACAGCTCAAAGGCCCAGAAAATATTTAAAAAAATTATGGAAGAAAACTTTCCCAACATAAAAAAGATATTCCTTTGAATATTCAAGAAGCATACAGAACACCAAACAGACTGGATCAAAGAAAAACATCCCCTCGCCATATAACAATCAAAATACAAAATATACAGATTAAAGAAAGAATATTAAGAGCTGCAAAGGAAAAAGGCCAAGTAACTTATAAAGGTAAACAGATCAGACTTACACCTGACTTCTCTATGGAAACCATGAAAGCCAGAAGGTCCTGGATAGAGGTACTGCAGAAACTAAGAGACCATGGATGCAAACCCAAACTACTATACCCAGCCAAGCTATTGTTCACTATCAATGGAGAAAACAAGACATTCCAGGACAAAAACAAATTTAAAAAATATGTAGCCACAAATCCAGCACTACAAAAAGTAATAGAAGGAAAATCACAACCCAAGGAATAAAACATAGCCAACACTGCCTACAATAACTCAGGCATCTAGCGACCCTTCACCAGCACAACTCAAAGAAGGGAGACACACAAACTCTACCAAAAACAATAAGAATAACTGGAGTAAACAATCACTGGTCATTAATATCACTTAATATTAATGGACTCAATTCACCTATAAAAAGGCACAGGCTAAGAGATTGGATACGAAAACAGGACCCAACATTCTGCTGTTTGCAAGAAACACACCTCAACCACAAAAACAGGCACCTACTCAGAGTAAAGGGTTGGAAAAAGGTGTTTCAAGCAAATGGTCCTAAGAAAAAAGCAGGTGTGGCCATTCTAATTTCTAACAAATCTGACTTCAAACTAAAATCAATCAGAAGAGATCAAGATGGACACTTTATACTCATAACAAGAACAATTCATCAGGATGAAGTCTCAATCCTGAATATCTATGCCCCTAATATAAAAGCACCCACTTATGTAAAAGAAACATTACTAAAACTCAAGGCAAACATCAAACCACACACACTAGTAGTAGGAAACTTCAACACACCTCTCTCACCAATAGACAGGTCAATCAGCCAGAAACCTAACAGAGAATGAAGAGAATTCTTGGAGGTAATGAAGCAAATGGACTTAACTGACATCTATAGAACACGCCACCGAAACAGGAAAGAATATATCTTCTTCTCTGCAGCTCATGGAACCTTCTCAAAAATTGACCACGTACTTGGAAACAAAGGAAACCTCCACAGAGACAAAAAATATCAGTGTCCACCTGCATCTTATCAGATCACCACGAATTAAAGTTAGAAGGCAACAACAATGCTACCCCCAGAAAGCTGACAAACTCATGGAAACTGAACAACTACTGAACCTCACCTGGGTCAAGGAAGAAATTAAGAAAGGAATTAAAGTCTTCCTTGAATTTAATGAAAATAAAGAGACAACATACTCAACCCTATGGGACACTATGAAAGCAGTGCTAAGAGGAAAGTTCAAAGCACTAAGTGCCCACTTAAAGAAAATGGAGAAAGCATACATTAGGGACTTAACAGCACACCAGAAAGCTCTAGAAAAAAATAGAAGCAGTAGTGCCCAGGAGGAGTAGAAGACTGGAAATAATCAAACTGAGGGCAGAAATCAACAAAATAGAAACACAGAAAACAGTCCAAAAATCAATGAAACAAAAAGTTGGTTCTTGGAGAAAATCAACAAGATCGACAAACCCCTATGTGAACTAATTAAACGACAGAGATAGAACACGCAAATAAATAAGATCAGAAATGAAAAGGGGGACATAACTACAGAAACAGAGGAAATTCAGAGAATCATTAGATCTTACTACAAAAGCCTATATGCCACAAAATTGGAAAATGTTAAAGAAATGGACACTTTTTTAGATAAGTACCATATACCAAAGTTAGACCAGGACCAGGTGAACAATCTAAATAGACCTGTTAGTCGCGAAAAATTAGAAACTGTTATCAAAAATCTCCCTTCCAAAAAAGCCCAGGACCAGATGGTTTCCATGCAGAATTTTACCAGAACTTCCAAGAAGAACTAATACCTATACTCCTAAATGTATCTCACGATATAGAAACAGAAGAGTCATTGCCAAATTCCTTTTATGGAGCTACAGTTACCCTGATACCAAACCACACAAAGACCCAACCAAGAAAGAGAATTACAGCCTATCTCAGTCATGAATATCGACGCAAAATTTCTCAGTAAAATACTGGCGAACCGAATCCAAGAACACATAAGAAAAATTATCATTATGATCAAGTAGGCTTCATCCCAGAGATGCAGGGCTGGTTCAACATATACAAATCTATCATTGTAATCCACCATATAAAAAAACTAAAAGAAAAAAATCATATGATCATTTCATTAGATGCTGAAAAATCATTCAACAAAATTCAACACCCCTTTATGATAAAGGTCTTGGAGAGATTAGGGATACAAGAGTCATACCTAAATATAATAAAAGCTATTTACAGCAAGCCGACAGCTAACATTAAATTAAACGGAGAAAAACTCAAAGCCATCCCACTAAAATCAGGAACACGACAAGGATGTCCACTCTCTCCATACCTCTTCAATATAGTTCTTGAAGTTCTAACAATAGCAATAAGACAACATAAGGGGATCAAGGGAATTCGTATTGGAAAAGAAGAAGTTAAGCTCTCGTTATTTCCAGATGATATGATAGTATACATAAGTGACCCCAAAAACTCTACCAAAGAACTCCTACAGCTGATAAACACCTTTGGTAATGTGGCAGGATACAAGATCAACTCCAAAAAATCAGTTGCCTTCCAATACACTAAGGCTAAGGAAGCAGAGAGGGAAATCAGAGAAGCATCACCTTTCATGATAGCCACAAATAGCATAAAATATCTTGGAGTAACTCTGACCAAGGAAGTGAAAGATCTATTTGACAAGAACTTTAAGTCTTTGAAGAAAGAAATTGAAGAGGACACCAGAAAATGGAAGGATCTCCCTTGCTCTTGGATGGAGAGGATCAACATAGTAAAAATGGCAATTCTCCCAAAAGCAATCTATAGATTCAATGCAATTCCCACCAAAATCCCATCAAAATTCTTCAGAGATCTGCAGAAGACAATAATCAACTTTATATGGAAAAACAAAAACCAAGGATAGCCTAAACAATCTTATACAATAAAGAAACCTCTGGAGGCATTACCATCCCTGACTTCAAACTCTATTACAGAGTTACAGTATTGACAACAGCTTCGTATTGGCATCAAAACAGAGATGTCGACCAATGAAATCGAATAGAAGACCCTGACTTTACCCTACAAACCTATGAACACCTGATTTTCAATAAAGGAGCTAAAAGTATACAATGGAAAAAAGAGAGCATCTTTAACAAATTGTGCTGGCAAAACTGGATGTCAATCTGTAGAAGGATGAAAATAGATCCATATCTATCACCATGCACAAAAATCAAGTCCAAATGGATTAAAGACCTCAATATCAGTCCAAACACACTGAACCTGAGAGAAAAGAAAGTGGGAAGTACTCTATAATACATGGGCACAGGAGACCACTTCCTATGTATAACCCCAGTAGCACAGTCACTAAGGGCATCATTGAATAAATGGGACCTCCTGAGACTGATAAGCTTCTGTATAGCAAAGGACACTGTCACTAAGACACAAAGGCAACCCACTTACTGGGAGAAGATCTATACCAACCCCATAACAGACAAAGGTCTGATCTCCAAAATATATAAAGAACTCAAGAAACTAGACCATAAAAGGCTAATCAACCCAATTATAAAATAGGGCACTGAGCTGAACAGAGAATTCTCAACAGAAGAAGTTCAAATGGCCAAAAGACACCTAAGGTCATGCTCAACTTCCTTAGCGATCAGGGAAATGCAAACAAGACAACTTTAAGATACCATCTTACACCTGTCAGAATGGCTAAAATCAAAAACACCAATGATAGCCTTTGCTGGAGAGGTTGTGGAGAAAGGGGTACACTCATCCATTGCTGGTGGGAATGCAAACTTGTACAACCACTTTGGAAAGCATTTGCGGTTTCTCAGGAAATTCAGGATCAACCTACCCCTGGACCAAGCAATACCACTCTTGGGAGTATACCCTGGAGATGCCCTAACATACAACAAAAGTATATGCTCTACTATGTTCATAGCAGCATTGTTTGTAATAGCCAGAACCTGGAAACAACCAAGATGACCTTCAATGGAAGAATGGATGAAGAAAGTATAGAATATATACATATTAGAGTACTACTCAGCAGTAAAAAACAAGGACTTCTTAAAATTTGCATACAAATGGACAGAAATAGAAAACACTATCCTGAGTGAGGTAAGCCAGACCCAAAAAGAGGAACATGGGATGTACTCACTCATATTAGGTTTCTAGCCATAAATA